ATTTAAAACTGGAGCACCAAGGCTCAGTTGGTGGATGGCGTTGAGAAGCAGCGGCTTTGGAAATTGTCTGTGTAAGGCCAGAGAGATAATACAGCGAGCGGGCACCCACCTCGCATGTGGCGGACCCAGGTTCAATCCCCGGCACATATGTGGTACCCGCAGCATGGCCAGGAGTGAGCCCTGAGCGGCGTCAGTGTGGCCCCAAACAAAACAAAAATGGAAGGAAGGGGGCTGAAACCATAGCACAGCTGGGAGGGCGTTTGCCTTGCACGCGGCCGACCCGGGTTCGATTCCCAGCATTCCATAGGGTCCCCCGAACACCTCCAGGAGTGATTCCTGAGTGTATGAGCCAGGAGTAACACCTGAGCAATGGCTGGTGTGACCCAAAAAAAAAAAAAGGGAAAAAAGTTCTCTGAAATGTATATATTTGTATCATTCCCCTGATCCGCCTTTGCCATCCCTTTTATGTGTATACGTATCTGTCTACAATTTCTGGTTTGTTAGTGCTTTATTTGCCTTTTTTTGGAGCCCCACTGGGCAGTGCTCAGGGCTTACTCTTGGCTCCGTGCTCATGGATCACTCCTGGCGGGCCTTGGCAGCACCTTCGTGGTGCTGGGACTTGAATCAGGGGCCCGGCAAGCACCCAAAGTCCTGAGCTGTGTCCCCTGCCCCGCTCCCCATGGCACTGCTTTCAACCTACATGTTCTGGCCCCAAACACGGGGGCATCCAGACTCTGCTTTCCCTCACCCCCATCTTCTGTCCACAGTGGCTCCCTGAAGGGTCTCAGTCCACCCAGTTCTGGTTCCCTGGGGCCTGAATTATCAACCTTCGTCCGACATCATGTTCAGGAGGGCCACACTGACTGAGCCACGTGCTTCAGGGACAGGACAGTCGCTATAGGGGCGCTTCGATTCGCTGCTTGGGCACCTTCTGGGTCTGATGCAACTGATTGAGCTGAGCTCTTGTGTGTGTGTGTGTGTGTGTGTGTCTGCGTAGGGGGATGAAACTCATTTGCACCAACATCTGCACACCTGTGGCTTCAGATCTCCCCTGGGAATTGGGGCACCAATGTGTTGAGGGGAGAACTGAGTACCAGATGCTCTTGGCTTCACCTTCCATCCAAGTCCAGAACCTACATGCCCGCCCCCTTCCCCCCTAATTCCTCCCTGATCCTGTGGTCCCCTCCCTCCGTCCCCCACACCTCCAGCCCCCTTTGAGAGGGCACAGCCCAGCCCACTCGTGGGGTGACTGCTACTCCCTCCCCTGACCATCTCAAGTCTGTCCTTGTCATTATGCGGGTCACATCCCTTCTCTCCTGCAGTGCCTGGCCGGCTGCTCTCTGGCTCTGGGCTAGGCCCCTGGCACTTCCTCCTGCCTCCACACTCTGCGCCCCTTCCTTTACGGTGTCTGCAGCTTGGAGGCGTGTCCCAGCCTGGGGAGTGCACCCCCATACTCTATGCAAGTGGGCTCGAATGTTATCCCAGATCACCCAGGGCCGTGCGTGTGTGCGTGTGTGTGTGTGTCCCTAGGTCTGATCTTGGGCCGTGTGTGTGCACGCGTCTAATTCCAGGTCTGGGACAGGGCCCCCCCTCCTCCCGGAGCTCAGGGGCATCTCGGGGAGAGGACAGGAGGACAGGAGGGACTCCGGGCGGAAGGGAGCCAGGGCTCCCGGAATCCAGCCGAGTCCAGTGCGGAGGTGGCCCCCGGCCAGCTTGGGGATAAACACAAGGAGGGGGCAGGGGGACAGGAACTCAGGACACGGCGGGGGGGGGGGGGGGGAACTTGGCCCAGGATGTCTAGATCTGTCCCTGCCAGGCCCAGATGGCCAGGCCGTGTGGGTGGGGTTAGACCATCGAACTAGAACCTGGGGGGCGGAGTTGAATCTGGGCACTTGAAAGGAATTCCTTGGGACAGGAGTTGGCTGGGAAGGAGCCCCGGGGGTGGCTGGGAAGGTTCGAGGCGCTCCGTGTGTGCTGGGGGGCGAGGTTGGCAGGGCACCCCCCGCCCACACCATGGGGGCGCTGGCGTCTCAGACAGGCCTGTGGAAGCCCCCACCGGCGCTCCGCCTGCCTCTCACACTGTGGCCCCAGCCCCTTGGTTTTTGCCTGTGGAATGTGTTTTATTGAAAATTCCAGACGACTGACCAGCCTCGGCGGAGCGTTTATTCTTTGATTTTCGCCTCCTTTTCTTTTGAAGTGGCTGCTCACATTCGTTGGCCGTTGTTGGCTTTTTTCCATCTTGTTTGTTGGAAGATTAATGGGGGCCCTGAGAGATAGTCCAGCAGGGAGAGCGTTTGCCTTCCACGTGGCCGACCCGGGTTCGATCTCCGGAATCCCGTATGGTCCCCCGAGCACTGCTGGGAGTGATTCTTGGGTGCAGAGTCAGGAGTAAGCCCTGAGCATCGCTGGGTGTGGCCTCAAAACATAATAATAATAATAATAATGATAACAATAGTAATGATAATAATGCTGAGACTGGAGAGTTGGTGCCTGGTCTTGCCTGCGACCTACCCGGGTTTAGTCCCCAGCTTCACGGAGTTCAGTCCACTGCCCTTTGCAGTGACTCCCTGAGCACAGCCAAGTGTGGCCCCGAAATCAAGGAGGAACAAGGAGGGTCTGCTCTCCTGAGAGTTAAAAGAGCTTTTTTTCTTTTTCCCTACCTGCTGGTAGCATGTGTCTGGGGCCTGATTCTTTCTTTGTTTTTCTGGAAGGATGATTCCCTTTGTCCGGGTTTTGTCTGTGCAGAGGCGTGCGGAGCACGGCTTCTGTGGGGGAGAGCTGGAAGCATCTCCCGAGGGTGGGGGGGTCAGGGCTCCCCCGCCCCTCCCGGAGCCCTGGAGATGGCATTTCCTGTCGCAGGCCGTCCTGGGATGCCAGAACCCAGTGACATCACCCACAACTCCCAAAGAAGTGCTTATTATCTTTTTTACCCCCCTCCCCCCCGCCCCGAGAGAACAATTCTTCTTTCTCGAAAGCTCAGGCTGCCCTTTGGGGACACGTACTTGCTCTGTGTCCAGCGGGGAGATGTTCTGCCTTTGTCTTTCCCCCCCCCCCCCCCCCCCGCTTTTTGGGTCACTCCCGGCAATGCTCAGGGGTTCTTCCTGACTCTGCACTCAGGAATAACTCCTGGTGGTGCTCAGGGGACCCTATGGGATTCAAGTGATCGAACCCAGGTCAGCCTCGTGCAGGGCAAATGCCCCCTCCCCACTGTGCTATCGCTCCAGGACCTCATGGGAGAGCTGGGTTGTTGGTTTAACTCCTCAGCGGGTCCGATGCTCCTGTCGCTGGGCCGGGCCGGGAGAGTTGAGACCAGATGACTGGCTGGGTGGGCCCGGCCACACTTGGAAGGTACCTACCTGCCTTCATACATGAGGTCTTGGTTTGGTCTCTGCCACTGAAAACACAATCCCCCCACCCCCCGCCCAAGGACGCTTGTGACCTGCAGTCTATGAAGCTGCTCCCAGGGCAGGTTCGACTTCCCACTCCCTGCACCCTGTCCCAGTCCTGTCCCGCCCGTTTCATTCTATCCTGATGGAGCGACTGAAATAGGGGCCGGAGTCATAGCCCACAGCTGGGCGTTTTCCCTGCCCCGGCCGGCCCGGCTTTGGGCCCTGGCACTGTGTTTGGTCTTCGGGGCTGTCACGGTATACAGGGCCCCGCAAGGATTCGGGGGCTCCCCAAAGACCCTGTTCTTCGACTGTCCTCCCCACCCCAAACCCCACCGCACACGTGACCCAGCAGCCAGGAAACAGGTTGTCGAGGTGGAGGAGGGTCCTCCCTTTGCCCTTGTGAGGAGAGTTCGGGGAATAAAAGCTGGACTGGGGACGCGCGTGGAGGAGGTGGTTGGCGGCCAGCAACTAAGCCAAGAGGCGCATGGTTTCCTTTTGGGGGTGATTTAAAATTGTGCGGCCAAGGGGATGGTCAGGGAGCTGGAGTATTTGGGTCCCCGGCTTCCCGGGGTCCCATGTCCCTGGAAGCAAAGCCCACCCCCTCCCATACACACACCCCCAAATCAATTAATTAATTGTGAAGGTGATTGCAAAATTAAGTCACAGGTAGAATTTTTGGACTGTACTGAAGAGATGACTGAATTGGGGGGACTGGAGCAATGATAGTCCAGTGGGGAGGGCATTTGCCTTGCATGCGGCTGATCCAGGTTCAATCCCCGGCATCCCATAGGGTCTTCTGAGCATCTCTGGGTTTGACCCAAAATGTCAAAAAAAAAAAATCACTGAATTGTACTATTAGGTGAGGGAATACATGCCCTGCAGACTATCAAACCATTCAAGTGCCCCCCGAGCCAGACACCCTGTCATTGTGCCAGAGGGGTCTATAGGCCTTCGAGATGGCCGTTGTCGTGGGTAAAGTTTCATTTTATTTTAGTACCATTTTTTGTGGTGTCAGGGGTGGAACTCGGGACTTCACCTGAGGCTTAGCTTCTTCCAGATCTGCAGACACAGTCCCAGACCTAAAGTTTTATTTTGATTTGTTTGTTTACTTATTCGCACAGGGTGTGTGGGGGGGGGGGGGCGGGGGGGAAGACCCTCTGGTGCTCAGGAAGTGCTCCTGGCTCAGTGCTCAGAGATTGCTTGCTGCAGTGCTCGGGGATCATGTGGTTCTGGGGCTCAAACCTGGGCGTCCCGCATGAGCTCCGGCCTTCTGAGCCTCCCTGGCCCCAAAGCGACAGTCGTGAAGGGGGTCCTGGCTGTTTATTTCTTAGTTGCTTTCTCCTGGTTTGGGGGCCATAGGCAGCAGTGCTCAGGGCTTGCTCCTGGCTCTGTGCTCAGGAGTCACACCGGGTGGGCTCGGGGACCCTAGGGGATGCCGGTATTTGAGCTGGGCTGTGTGCAGGCAAGGTCAATGTCCTCCCCTCGACCCTGTGCCCCGCCAACTCTGCTCACGGGCTTGAGATTCTTTCTTCCCCCAATCCCGGGGGACGAGGGGGGGTGCGTTTCCTCCCGCGTCCAGCGGCCACTGACCCTCCTGTGTTCCCCCCGCAGCACTTTCACGATGGCCGGAAGGCCCAGCAGCACATCGAGACCTGCTGGAAACAGCTCGAGTCTGTAAGTGAGACCCCCGGGTGCCCATCCCACGAGGCGACCCCCAGTGTGGGCAGCCCAGCCCGGCCCAGGAAGGGCCTCAGGGAGCCTCTGGGCTGGGCTTTCTTTCTGCTGGCTTCTCGAAAGACGATGGAGTTCTGAGCCCGGGGGACGGGGGAACAGGGAGGAGGTTTGTCTCCCTCCCCCACTCCCCTCCCCCCCAGTTCCCTTCTTCTTTCCCTTCTTCCCTCTTCTCTCCCTGCCTCATCCCTCTCTCCGCTCACATTTCTCCCCTCCCCTCCCCCTCCTCCCCTCCCCCTCACCTCTTCCTCTCCCTCCCCCTCCCCCTCCCCCTCCCTTGCCCCTCCCCTCCCCCCTTCTCCCCTCCCCCTCACCTCTTCCTCTTCCTCCCCCTCCCCTCCCCTCCCCCTCCCTTGCCCCTCCTCTCCCCCTTCCCCTTGCCCCTCCCCCTCCCCTCAGCCACACCTAACAGTGCTCAGGGCTTACCCCCGACTCAGTGCACTCCTGGTGGGGCTCAGGACCATGTGAGGTGCCAAGCAGGGATCGAACCTGGGTTGGCCGCACGGAAGTGAGAGCCCTCCCCTCCGCCCCGTTTCTCTCGAACCCCCGTTTGTTTATTTTTTTTTGTGATGGTCAGCAGGGCTCGGCTCCCTCCTGGCACGGCTACCCCGGCAGGCCTTGGGCACGGCCAGTGCCTTCAACTCCGCACTCTCTCTCCGGCCCCTCCCTGCTCTTCCCTGAGCCTCGGGAGCACCATGCGGGGAGCATGGGCTGGAGGGGAGGGAGCACTGCACAGGAGGATGGGCTGGAGCATGCATGGTTAGGATGGGCTGGAGGGGAGAGAGCACTACACAGGAAGCACAGGCTGGAGGGTAGGGAGCACTGCACGGGGGGATGGGCTGGAGGGGAGAGAGCACTGCGCGGGGAGCACAGGCTGGAGAGGAGGGAGCACTGCACAGAGAGCACAGGCTGGAGGGGAGGGAGCACTGCATGGGGACCACGGGCTGGAGGGGAGGAGTCCCGTCCATGGCGGCCGCCCTGACGCCTCCCTCCCCGCAGAGTAAGCGGCGGTTCGAGCGGGACTGCAAGGAGGCTGACCGCGCCCAGCAGCACTTCGAGAAGATGGACGCCGACATCAACGTGACCAAGGCGGATGTGGAGAAGGTCAGTGATGCCTCCCCTTGGCCCTTTCCACGGCTCAGGGGTTTGGAGGAGCCAGCACGGAGCAGGGGGGGGCCCAGGGCAACCCTGGGGGTCTCAGCCCCCAGCGTCATCTCCACCAGTGGTTCACGGTGTCGAGAACGAGGGCTGTAACTTCAGCTCCAGCAGGATCCTGAGCCCTGGAGCTGGATTTTCTTATTTATAAAAGTCCTCAATATGGTGTAAACAGAATCAGTGTCCAGGAACGCTGTTCCTCGTCCCAGCCCGTGCTGGCCTGCCTGCCGCCGTTTTTTTCTTGGAAAAAAGAAGGTCTGTACTGTGTGTAGCACTGGCAGACGCACAGACACACACCAGCCCACCATGACTCCATCCGGAGAGGTGCAAACCCCTGAGAGCCAATGCAGTAGAACAGTGGGTAGGGCATTTGCCTTGCACGTAGCAGACCCGGGTTCGATCCCCGACTTCCTGTATGGGCCCCTGAGCACCGCCAGGAGTGATTCCTGAGTGCTGAATCCAGGAGTAAGCCCTCAGCATTGCAGGGTGGGACCCCCATATAGATTTTTCCCCCATTTATTTATTTATTTATTTTTAAAATTTTATTGAATCGTCGTGAGATAGATATTTATAAGCTTTCATGTTTGAGTTACAATCACACAATGATCAAACACCCGTCCCTCCACCAGTGCACATTCCCCACCACCAAGATCCCCGGTATAATCCCCTTTCCCACCCTGCCCCTGCCTCCATGGCAGACAATATTCCCCATACTCTCTCTCTACTTTTGGGCATTATTATGGTTTGCACAATAGACCCTGAGAGGTCATCATGTTTGGTCCTTTATCTACTTTCTGCACACATCTCCCATCCCGACCGGTTCCTCCAGCCGTCTTTTCCTTAGCGATCCCTTCCCTCTTCCAGCTGCCTTCTCCCCTGTGCTCATGAGGCAGGCTTCCAGCTATGGAGCAATCTATCTGTCCCATGTATCTACTGTCCTTAGGAGTCAGCCTCATGTTACCCCATATAGATTAAAAAAAAAAATTGTGCTTCTGTGAGTTTCCTTCTGGCTTTATTTGCTTTTTCAATTCAGTAGGAAGTTTTTAAAAACTCAGCCCCAGGGCTGGAGCGACAGCACAGCGGGGAGGGCGTTTGCCTTGCACATGGCTGACCCGGGTTCTATCCTTGGCATCCCATAGGGTCCCCCGAGCACTACCAGAAGTAATTCCTGAGTGCAGAGCCAGGAGTAAGCCCTGAGCATCGCCTGGTGTGACAAACAAACAAAAAAAACAAAAAACAAAAAACCTCAGTCCCTGCGGGCTGGAGTGATAGCACAGCGGTAGGGCGTTCGCCTTACAAGCGGCCAACATGGCCGACCCGAGTTCGATTCCTCCGCCCCTCTCGGAGAGCCCGGCAAGCTACCGAGAGTATTCGATATGCCAGACACAGTAACAACAAAGTCTCCAATGGAGACGTTACTGGGCCCGCTCGAGCAAATCGACGATCAACGGGAGGGCCTTTACCTTTACCCTGTGGTCCATGCGTGCTGCCTGCCTAACGCTGGAGCCCCAGCTCCTTGCTTAACTCTAGTTCTGTGTTTGGGGGTGGGGGGTTCGTTTATGTTTGGGGGGCCACACTGGCGATGCTCAGGGCTTACTCCTGGCTCCGCACTCGGGGGTCACTCCCAGTGAACTCGGGGTCCATATGGGGTGCGGGGGATTGAACCTAGTTGGCCTCATGCAGGCAAGTGCCTCCCTGCCTGCTGTCCCTGCGCCCCGTTAGACCCGGTTCTTTCTGCGGCTGTGCTGAGCGCGTCTCTGCTCCCCTGGGCCCGGGACGGTGTCCCCTGTGCGGGAGCTATGGGCGCAGGCTGATAGAGGGGGTCCCCACTCTGGGGGCCAGGGGCCTGGCCGTGTTCCTGGCTCTGTTCGGGAGTGACCCCTGATGGCAGTCGGGCCCCTGGTGATGCTGGGGGTGTGAACTGGGGGCCTTCCGCGTGCCAGGCCGGCACCTGAGCCCTGAGCTGTCCCTGGTCCCTGAAGCAGCCCCAGGGCAGATGCTTGGGCTTCTGTGCGTGACACCAGGCGCTCTCGTTTCCCCAAACGGACCCTGATCCCACTGCCGGCCTGTGTCTGGGAGATGCAGTCTCGCTTCTTGTTCTTTAATGTGATTTCCCATTTTGGCTTCAGAGAGCCCCGGAATCTAATAGAGGTGCCCCTCCCCCCCCCCCCCCCCCCCCCGTTTCCGCAGGCGATTAGATTAGCCCTTTGGATCAGAAATCCCTCATGGCTTTCTCACGCTCAGCCCCGGCGCCCAGGGGCCGTAATGAAGAAGACAGGAGGGTGGACACCCCAGGAGCTGAGCCCAGGCCTGCTGACTTCCTGCTTGTCCTTGAAAGGTCAAAGTCCCCCACTTGGCCAGGGGCCAGAGAACACCCCAGGCCCAGTCATGGCATTGCCAGATTCCCCAGGCACCACCAACAGCCACTCCTGAGCACTGAGCTGGGAGCACTGTCCGGTGTGGGCCCTCCCTGCAGCCTAAAGATCTCAGGTGGGCATTAGACTCACTGTGTACAGACTCTGTTCAGACCACTCATCCTGTCAGTTGAAGTGCGGCGTCAACAACTGAGTGTGTGTGTGTCTGTGAGTGCATATGTGAGCGTGTTGAGCATCTGTGTGTGTGTGTGAGTGTGTCTCTGAGTGGGTGTGTGTGTGTGTCTGTGAGTGCATATGTGAGCGTGTTGAGCATCTGTGTGTATGTGTGAGCGTGTCTCTGAGTGGGGGTGTGTGTGTGTGAGCGTGTCTCTGAGTGGGTGTTTGTGTGAGTGTGTGTCTGCGTGTGCTTGTGTGAGCGTGTATGTGAGTGTGTCTGAGTGGGAGTGTATGCGAGTGCATATGTGAGCATATCTCTGTTTCTCCGTTGGTGTGTGTGTCTGTGTTTGTCTCTGAGTATGTTTCTGTGTGAATGTGTCTCTGTGTGTGAGTGCATATGTGAATGTGTCTGTGTGTCTCTCTGAGAGTGTGTGTTTGTGTCTCTTGTGTGTGAATGTGTCTCTGAATATGTGTGGCTGTGTGTGTGTCTCTGTGAGTGTGTGTCTCTGAGTGTATCTATGTGGGTGTAAGTGTGTGTGTTCTCTGTAAGTGTGTGAGTCTCTGAGTGCGTGTTTATGTGGGTGCAAGTTGTGTGTGTGTCTCTGTGAGTGTGTCTGTGTGTGAATGTATGTGGGTGTAAGTGTGTGAGGCTGTGCTGGCCGAGGTCAGCAGCCCTTACTCACAGGGGTGTGTGTTACCCTGAAGTGCTGGCGGGCACGCGTGTGACGCAGAGGGCGTGTGCGGAGAGCTTGACTCTTATGGCCTGGTGCTGTTCTGGCGGGAATCCGCGTGTCAGTTTGTCCAGGATCAGTACATGTGGGCAGTGGTGACCTCAGAACCCAGGGAGGTCTGGAACCGGGCGAGGCCCAGAGTTGGACATGAGAGGCAGGTGCCCTCCCCAAGGCGAGTCTGGCCCTGCCAGGGGTCCCTGGGCCTCTGGGATGCACCAAGCGTGCAGCCCGCTGATCACAGCAGCAGGGAAGGGAAGGCAAGGGGGGTTTTATTCTAACTTTTGAAAATCCTTCTCGCTCCTCTTTCTCCTCATTTCAGGGAAGTGGATAGTGGATAGTATCTGTCGCTGTAATCTTGAGGAGTGCTGGCCAGGGAACGTGGAAAAATCAAACCATATATGGCTTGCTCAAGTCAGGATCTCTTGCTAAAAATAGTTCTGGGCCAGGAGAGACCCCAGGTGGCGGGGTACATGCCCGCCACGTTTGATTCTGATCCCCGGTATCTGCGTCTTTGTCCCGAGACCCATTTGCTAAGCCCACCCAGGTCCTGTCGGCTCCTGGGGCTGGACTCAGCCAGAAGTGACCCCAGAACCCTCTGGGATCATATTGGTTTGGGGACCACAGCAGGCAGTGCAGGGGTCACTCTGGGGGATGGTATGGGTTCTCGGGATCAACCCCAGGTCAGCCATGTGCCTTCCCACTGGACTCTCTCTGGCCCTGCAATAGCCTCATCTTTTTTTTTTTTTTCTGGTTTTCGGCTTTTTGTGATGCTCAGGGGTTCCATTTGGCTCTGCACTCAGGAATTACGCCTGACGGTGTTCGGGGGACCCTATGGGATGCTGGGGATCGAACCTGGGTTGGCCGCATGCAAGGCAAACCCCTACCTGTGTACCAGCGTGCCAGCCCCATCATCTTCACTGCGGAAATAACTGGTGGAGTTCCTGAGTTTGAAATGTTGGTACCCACCCTCCTCCCTCCCTCCTTCCATCCCTCCGTCCTTCCTCTGTCCATCCTTCCATCCATCCTTCCTTCCCTTCCTTCCTTTCCTTTCTTATTCCCTCCTTTCCCTCCTTCTCTCCCTCCCTCCCTCCATCCCTTCTTCCTTCCTTCATTCCTTCTGTCCTTCCTTCATTCCTTCTGTCCTTCCTTCATTCCTTCTGTCCTTCCTTCATTCCTTCCGTCCTTCCTTTATTCCTTCTGTCCTTCCTTCTTTTCTTTCCTCCTTCCTTCCTCTTTCCCTCCCTCCCTTCCTTCCCTCCTTTCTACTTTCCTTCTTCCCTCCCTCCTTCCTTCCTCCTTCCTTCCTTCCCTCCTTCCTTCCCTCCCTCCTTCCCTCTCTCCTTCCTTCCCTCCCTGTCCTCCTTCCTTCCTTCCCCCTTTCTTCCTCCCTCCCTCCCTCCCTCCTCCTTCCTTCCCTCCAGTCCTCACCCATTCTCCATGTACTGCTCTGTTGGGGTGTGGGGCTCAGACACCCTCTTGCCATCACAGACCCGACTTTGGGGACCATGCTGTTCCCTTTCCCCCCCTAAGACTCGCTTCTCTGTCTCTTGAGTTTTGCTCACGTGCCCCCCAACAGCGCTTCTGTGACATTCCAGCGACACAGACTCCAGAATCCTCTGCAGTTAGTGGCTGTGCCCTGGGGTGATCGTGTGCGGCCCCCTTGGGAGGGAGGCAGAGAAACAAAACT